GTTTAGACTGTTCAGGGGGACCTCCCCATGGCTTATCTGGACACCCCAGTCCCTTGAGCCCCGGCCCAGCAGCCTCCAGTCTATCCTCTGCAAAGCTGCCCGTCCGTGTTTGAACACATAAAACACATCACCTCATCTCCTGCTCATGGCCCTGCCGCACCGACCCCGGGCCCCAGCAGACAGACAGGAAAATTCCCAGCATCACACACAGACCAGCTGTTTCTGGCTGCCCTCTCCCGCCTCCCCACTGGCTTCCTGTTTCCCAAGCTGCTGCTCAGAACACCCCAGGACACCCCCAAAAGACTACCTCCCCCAGAACCCTCCCCCAGCCTGGATGACGGCGATTCCCCTCCTGCCCCGACAGTCCGGCTGAAACCTCAGTCAGAGGCGGCCAGGGCTCTGCTGAGAACCCCTAGGTCCGTCCTCCACTCCGAGGCCAGGCCGAGCCCTCCCAAGGCCCATAGAGCCCTTTGTGACCCTGTGCATCCCAGGCTCCAGCCCTCCCCCAGAGCCCAGCAGCCAGGCTTCACCTTTGTGAGGAGGGCTCACCCCTTCAAGCCTGCAGCCCTCAAGCCTGCTCACTTAGCATCTCCCTTCCCCGAGCCATCGGCAGTGCCTGGCCCCCCGACCTGCACGCGCCATAGCCCTTACTTTCTAACGTGGTTTTTGTCTGTGTCCCCGCCTCCTCTGGACCGTCAGCTCCTGGGTCTGGGGTGCTGTCTGTTTGGCCTCTGCTCCGGCCCCAGGACCTGTTCGGCAGTCACACCCTGTCTCTGGGCCTTCTCTTGCTTGTCCAAAAATGAGGGCCAGGACTGAGGTCCCGTCAGTGTGATGCTTGTGGATCCTGCCCCTGGGGTCCTCAGGTCCCAATGCCCAGACTGAGGATGGCCAACCCGCCAAAATTCTCATGGGGTTGGCAGACAGCAAATCAGGTCTCTCTCTCTTTCAGCCGTGGACTAAGAAATGGGAGAACGACGTTTTCTTGCCTGGAAACTCCAGAGGACTTAACAGGGGATGAGGAAAGCCACTTCTGGCCAGGCCTCAAACCCGCTTTCCTCCTGCCAGCAGGGAAGGAAAAGTGGAACAGAGGTGCTGTCTCCGGGGCTTCACACTGGTGGGCACTGGGGGTGGGTGACCCAGGAAGCAATCTCGGATCCCAGCCCCAGACCAGGCCCGGACTGGGTGGGCAGCAGGCGAAGACAAGGGGACGGGACTCCATGGGGACAGACACACAGAGGGTGACATAAAACGGCAAAACCACAGGCGGGATGGGCGTGCAGTGGTCCCCACGGGACCAACCATCTGCACTGCCTTGGTCTCTAGTGTGGAGCTTTCCTCACCCCGACCTCCAAGCCCACCCTAATTCCCCTCACGTGCTGGGATTTGAGGAAGGGCCTTATTCCCTTTGGCAGGGTGGGGTCCTTTCCACGGGTCACTGAGCCCTCAGGGAAGGGTCTCCAGCTGGCCTGGGGCTTTGTCTTACTTCAGCACACCTGTGACCACTTGGAGGGGATGTGGGAAACCTCAGAAGGGAGGACAGGACGTGAAGGGTTAGGCAGGTGGGACCCAGAGCAGCAGCAGGCCGGTCCACAGGGTCTAGACCAGGGGAGGGGGGCCCACACCACCTCGTGTTCTGCTGGGGCAGTGAATCTCATCCTGTAAGGCTCAAGACCGTCTTCTTGTAACAGAAAATCAATACCATCCCTTTCCTGTGCAGAAATCAGATTCATCAATAATATAACCTACTACATGCATAGTCCAGATAATGCCCTAAGTGTAGCATAAAGGAACATGAGCTGTCTATCATGTGTATTTCAATGTGTATTGTGTAATGTGTCTATCATGTGTATTTCAATGACACCTCCTTCGGAGGGGCTGACAGTGCTGGCTGAGAACCACTGCCATAGCGGAGAGGGATGTCACACTGGTTTGTCAGTTGTCTGCTTCCCTGGGGAACAGGCACTGGGCCATATTCACCACCTCCTCTCCGCTGCCTAGCACTGTGTTCAGCACATAGTAGGTGCTCAGTTAATGTCTGGTGAAGGGGTGGATGAATGACTGAATGATGAATTCAGTCTCAGGTGAGATGTGCTGATGGTGTCATGAGTGGAATGAGGTTGCGCCTGGCCCCCGAGAGCCCACGGAGGACCCCAGGCAGGCAGCGGCAGGGTGCGTGTGCACTTGCTCTCAACGGCGTCTTTGCCTGTCCCAGCTCCCTGCACGCATCTCTGGGTCAGGGGCTGCTCTTGTCTTCTCGGTCTCCCCCTCGGTGCCCTACACAGCGTCTGGCACAGAGTGGGTGCTCAATAAATACCCGTTGAATTTAATGCATCTCAATTCAACAAACATTTATTGAGCGCCCACTGTGTTGAGTGTCACAATCCTACCCTCCTTGGGTGAGCTACAGATGGATGTCCCAGGGATGCAGGCAGGCGTGCCTTGCCACATGCGAACACTTTGTTCATTAACGGTTGTTTGTAAACGAAACTGGTGTCGATGGACTCACAATTGGGGGCTACATGGTGAGATTGGAAGGAATCCAAGAAAAGAAGGCGGATACCCCTCTCTTCTCAGTTTAAGAGTGTGCTCATCCCGTCCAAATGTCTCAAGAGGCCGGCAGATAGCAAGGCACGCCTGACCTAGGCACAACCAGCAGCCTGGATCCTCGCTGCTATTTCCATGCACATTGGGAAACAAGGCAATGTCACCAGGACAGAAATAAAGGCACAGCTGCAATTGTTAGACACAGTGGGTTTCCCATTCAGAGGAACTGACATCAGAACATGTGTAGAAAGCGAAGGGATGACAGAACCATTGTCGTGGTCATCGTGAGCCTGCATCCCTGAAGGAGGACACACACCACACACACCACACACACACACACACACACACACACACACACACACACACACACACACACACACACAGGTTGTTTGTACTTTGGAGGGTTCGCCCCAGTTAGAGCACGAATTCTAGCATAGGCTTTCCAATTCCTGCCGGCCGGGCGCACCTGGATGGGAGGCGGTCCATTCCCATCCGCGGCTACACCTGCAGCTTGTGATCGGAACACGGCAGCAAGGAACGGGGCTGACAAACAGACCTTGAAGGTGTGTGACTGGCCAAAACACTTGCACAGCCTCCGGGTCTCACAGGGTGTGCCTCCGGGTCTCACGGGGTCTAGCGCCTGGGGGGCGACTGGGGCGACCCCAGGGCGCCTCGTCCAGTGCGTGCAGACGGGGGAGCAGTGCACAGAGGTGAGGAAACATGAACGGGTCAGCGCGGCACAGGGAGGTCCCCACGGGGCGGCCCGTCTCCTGCCCAGGCTTCTCCCCAGACGGTGTCCCCACCTCCCTAAGCCCCAAGCCGCCGGCAGGCCAGAAGGTAAGTGGGACTCCCTGGGGACAGCAGCTGCCCCCCTGAGGAGAGACAGCGCGGGGAGCTGCAGATGCAGGCCCACCCACCTCCCAGCAAGGGAAGGACTGAAGCTAGAAACGACCACCCCGAGGACCCCAGATAGTCCTTTCCTGGGTGTTCTCGAGTCCCGGGGCTAATGCTTTGGTGCCCTCAAGGCATGGGGGCTACTGGGGGCTGCTGGGGGGCTGGCGAAGCAGGAGCAATCCACCTTCCAAACTCAATTGCATCAGGAAAAACAAAGTGCAAAACAGAAGAGGCCACGGTCAAGGCCACACGCAAGTCCTGCGTTCCCCCTCACCCCTCACTCTGCCGCTGGTGGAACGGGCAGCCTGCCTCGGCCCTTCCAGATCCTCCCCAGGAGAAGCACGCCTCCGTTTGGACGAGACCCTCTGCGGGACTCTCCGGTGTGACCTTCCAACGGGGATGTCAGCCCTGTGCTCCGGCTCTGGATCCCATTTAGAGAGCAGAGGCCCAGGCGGACGGGGCCCGGGGCACACAGACATCTGCTTACAGAGATCACACACAAAACAACACACGCTTTCTCTGTTTAGACGTCTTCTTTAACAAGTGATCACCTCCACGCTTCTTACCCTCTTCCCACGTCGGAACACATGCACTTTCATTTGCGAGACGGTTTACAGTCACGAGAATGGTGGTGATGACGATGAGCATCTACTACGGGCCCGGCCAAGTGCTGGCTGCACACGTGGCACCTCCTCCGGGTCTCTAACGACCCCGCCGGGCACACAGGTGAGAATGGGGCCCAGCGAGTGGTGAGCCAACATTTGAACTCAGGTCTGTCTTACGGCAAAGCCAGTGTCTTTCCTTCCTTGGCTTACTCACGTCTACAACCATCCCCTCCTGGCCTCTGCTTCCAAGCTAAGCCTCCAGCTTGTCCACAGAAACCCACCCACAGCTGCTGAGACCCAAAGACTGCCCACCATCTACCGCGGGCATCAGACGGCAGCTTGCTGTTGTTTTCGCCTATAATTTACAGCCTCTGGACGTGAAGAATGTTTATATGGGGAGTTTCGCCCGGCATCTGAAGGTCACGCCTACTGCAGCTTCACGACCCCCCGGATCAGGCAGACGTGGTCTTTGTCTCCTGCACTCCCTGAGGATCTGTAGTCCCAGCTCCCGGCCCCTCGCCCAAGATGAGCACAGGAGACACGATAATGCCGTCTCGGCTCCGAGTCTGGACTCGCCCCCCTGGACCATGCTCCTGTCCGCTCCGGAGGGAGACGGGCCCTCAACTTCCAGCCTGGCAGCCTGCAAGCCCTTTTCCCAAAGGAGCCCAGGAGCCTGAGTTGGCTTTCTGCCCTCTTGCCGGCTCTGGAGCGTTCCGGGAGACGCTGGCGTGGCCCTTGGGCAGCAGGCTGGCTGAATCGGGGTGTCACCAAGGGAAGCCAGCACACGGCTACTGGTCTGCTCCCTACCGGGCTCGCCATTCTGTCTGTGGGTTTGCTCTCGTAGTTTTTAATGAGCAAGGCTTAGAACTGGGGGGGATTGGCTCGAGGTTGTGGGCCCCTTTTCTGTAAGGACTTTCATGCCACACTGACAGCTCCTTGCTCAAAAGAACCACTCACGTGAGTAAATGTTGTCCCCTGGCATCGTTTGGAGAGGGCCTCTATCAGTCCCGCTACTGTGGGCCAAAGACTGGCTGTCTAGGTCTGGAGAGTTGGTCCTAGTGTCTCCGTCCCCCTTGAGAAGCAGCCAGTGGGTCTTCTGCTGAGAAAAAAAACAGAAGTGAATTTTGAGGTCACCTGCAGTGGCATTGCCCCGCTTTACAGAGGAGGAAACTGAGGCTCAGGGAGGTCGGGGCCCACATGGCTTCACAAGGGGACAGCAGGGTAAGCCAGCCTTGGGCTCTTTCCACACACACCTACCTTCCTTAAAGACAAGCAAAGGGGGTCTTACCTCTTGAGCCAGGGTGGGCGGGCAAACTCAGCCCATGGGCCAAACCCTAAAATATGCATTTTGATTTGTTTTCCTTTCTTATCAGACATCTCCTTGGTTCTAGAACCATGACCAAGTTACACAGCATAGAATGAGGACTTTGGTACTAGATGTGCTAGTCCTAACTGTAAGGGGGCTGGTGGCACCACCTCTTAGATTTGGTCCCCGTTCCATGGTGCCCTGCCTAATGCCTAAGGAGTACAACCTAAGGGGAGGAGCCTGAGGCTTCAAGCTGGAGAAGTCCCCACAAAGCCAGGTCTGCCCCTGCATTACCTTCCTGTTATCCGGGTCGAAACTTCCGTCCTCCCCATCTGATCGCCGCCCGGCTGGAAGGGAAAAATCAATCTGTCAGGGCAGCGCACCATAGATTCTGGGTTTCCATGTGTCAGTTCCCACTTCACAGTCATGCTCAAAGATGGAAAATAATCAAAGAAAAGTCTCCAGCACTCGTACTTTTAAGGGCTGAGGAACCAGACCAGCTGGCGAAGGTCCCCGCAGGAATGTGGCCCGGGGAGTGCCTGGGGCCTTGCACAGGATGTGCTAAATCAAGAGCAGATGTGTGAAGTGATGCCTCATTTACATTCCAGCCAACCACCCTGCGGCCACTTGGCATTTCGAAGAACATACTTTCTATCTTCCCAGTTCAAAGGAACAGAAGGGCCCGGCGATCCAGCCCCTACTGGGTCAGACTCAGCTGGGTGCGTCACGGACATTACTGCTCATCCCCACCTGACCCATTTCACAGATCAGAGGACTGAGGCTCAGAGACATGACGCGCCTTTCTCAAGATCATGGATCAGCGGGTGGCAGAGGCTGGCATTTGAACCCAGGCAGTCTGACTCTAAGTCCTTCCTCTGTCTGCCCCACCTCACTGCTCGCAAAACACAAAAAGGTGAGTGAGCTATGTCCCTGGGAGAATTCCACGAAGACCAGTAAAGAGAGTACAACATACAACCAGAGGTGTGCTCGATGGAACAGAGCAAGCAAACGTCTGCTATTCAGCAGACTATCTAGAGCTGAGTCAAGAGGTGTCTGTATTCTCCATTTGCCTGTTTTGGGATGGGGGGTTGTCACCCAGCCGGGCTGACATTATCTCCAACCAAGCATGATGAGACAAATCACACGAGGGCAGGCTGACAGTTCTCAGCATCCAGTTCGGTAAAGACCCATCCTGTGCCTCCCAAGCTAAATCACTGACCCCATGCAAGGAACGATGAAAGGAAAGACCCCAGTGACCTTCGCCACCTGCCACAGAGACCGAGGCCATAGTAAGGACATGCCAAGGGTGGGCTCCTTACCTGCAGCCTGCGGAGGGCTCGGACCTTCTAGCCTTTTGGAGCACCCTGCCTTGTGCACCACCAAGGACAAGACTGACATCAGGCCCGAGAGCTTGGAAATTGGGGATTGGGCTACAGGACCTTGACAAGATAAGGCCACAATTGAAGACCATTCTGGATACACTGACATTTCATTACTCCCGACAGCTACCTGTTTCTCTGTCTCCCAGGAGAGACAGTCGTTTTCAAAGTGAAGATAAAAACCCTGCTGTGTCTACTTGCAGAGGCAAATTGGTGACAAGCCTGCGTGCGGGGCACCGTGCAGGAGGGGCAGGGAGCAGGGGGCTCAGAGGGACGCATGCCCGTCAGTGAAGGCTCTCCTGTTTCCTGGACAATGGCTGTCGCCAGGCAGCGGAGCCTTGAGTGTCTGACCATGCATCGGCCGGGACTCTTGGCAGCTGCACTGTCGCCCCAGGGACATTGGGCCGGCGGCTACTTGGAGCTCTAAGACCACTGCCCTTGTTCAGCCCAGAGGAGGTCTCCAGGGCCAGGTCTGCTGGTAAAAGTAAGTTAGCTGGATCCTTGAACAGCCCACAGAGGCCCCCCAATGGACCGAATGGACAGCCACACTTGGGGTAATTTGCAAATGCAAAAACAGTTAAGTGGCTCCAACCAAAGGGCTTTTGGGAATGTGAGATCCCAGGAGTTCAGATCACAGCGGCCCTCCTGGGTCCGAGGACTTTCCATAGCCTCGGGGAGCACGTTGGGCCAGACAATCTCTGCCTTTAGAGCTGCCTCAGGGCTTAAAGAAGGGCCCCACCTCCAAAAAGGGGGATGTCCCACCAAGATTTAGCCAGTTTTCTCTGCAAACGCCACCAGCTCCACGAGGTGTGCACAAGCTAACCAGACTCAAACCAAGGGCTTTCCAGAGCCCCAGTCTGCCAGTCCGCAAAACACCCAACAGATTCTCTCGAGAAATGGAGCACGGCTAGGAAAACAGAGGAACCCGGAGCTTTGTGTTATTTTCGGGCTGCTTCCTTAACAGCTCTGAGCCTCAGTTTCCTGATCCGTAAAATGGGCAAATGGCGCCCCCCCCCCCCCCACCTCCAATTTATGAGGATCGCATGAGATAACACGCAGGTGCTGTCACATGATGGGGAGCTCAGCGTACACGTTTGGAATATTACGAATAAAACGAGAGGCTAACTGGGCAGCTAATTTGTAACATGCCGTTTCAGAGTCTCAGGAAAAGACAGATCAATTCAGGACAAGCAGAGAAATCGAGTTGCGTGTGTCTTTCCTATCACACAAGGCAGCTCCTTCCGAGCCCTGGAAAGTATTTGCCAGTGAGCACCCTTTTGGGAAAGGCTGACGTCTGACTCCCTGCGTCCCTTGGGACCTTTATAGGGAGCGTCCCAATGAGAGTGGGAGGTCTCTAATTTTCTTTCTGGATACAGGGCCATTCCCTTTCCTCCCATCCCCAAACCAAAATGAGACTCGACCCCACTACAAAGGAACCCCAGAGACACATGAGATGTGATTAATTCCCGTCTTAAACCAGGCGCCAAAGAAAGAGCTGAGAGTACAGGCTACATGGGTCGCCTCTACCGTCTGGCGTGGGTGGGCAGCTCTGGGAGGTGGGAGCGAGCCCCCAACTGTCTGCAGGTGTGGGAGGTGGTGAGACGCCACCCCTGCTTCTTGGGCCTGTGTCTCCGCACACACTGCCATCTGACGGCTTACGTGCGCTTACCAAGGAAACAAAATGTCTGTCCCTGCAGCCGGACAGTCAGCTTCCTGGGAAATTTGGGGGAGGCGTTACTTTTTCCTCTTGAATTCATTTTAAATAGTCTAAAAACTGGGCCAGCTTCACTCCATTGAGAGGAAAGTCCCTGCTCTGTGCCAAGCATCACGGGGCCTCATGCAGAGCCCCTCGAAGCCAGAACCCCATTCTTTAGAGCGAGAGACAGAGCTGGCAGGGGAGCGGCTGTGGCTGGAATCCTGTCTGCCTCACAAAGAATCCTGGGTTCAACACTGCGATTGATTCAGGACCGTTCGAAAGACACCAAAAATGTCCCCATAGCAGCTGGACCTTTAGCGGGTGGTGGGAGGTCCAACGCCCTCCGCTGGTCCTGAAGCATCTCTGCCCGACGGGATGTGGTTCTTCCTTCCCTTCCTTATTCCTCTTCCTTCTTATTTCCCACTCGGTTCTTTTGCTTCCTTTCTTCTCTTTCTTATTCTTTTTTGAAGCCATTAAATTGTAACCAAGTCAAACTGGAACTAAGGTAGTCTAAGAAAATACTATTGGTCTCTAATGATGCAAAATGATGTAAAATAAAGAGTGGTGGGTTCCGGGGTCAGGCAGACCCGGTGTGACTTGGCCACATCGACGGGTCACTTTGCGGCCCTGGCCTCAGTTTCCCTGTCTATAATAATACCTGCCTCAGGGCTGTGTTGAGATGAAACCCCAGCACACGCGATGCGTTCAGTGGCAGCTATCTGACTGCTAATCCTAAACCTAACCCTCGTCCTCAACGCCAGGGTCCCACCCCCGCTGAGTCCCCAGGCCCGACCATCCTCATGCTGGAAGCTCATTTCCCCAAAACAGCAATGGGACTAGAGCACCAGAGAAAAAAACAAAAAACAAAAAACAACAACTTTTGATGAGTTGGAAATAAAAAGTGGAAAAGTAAATACATTAATTAAAAAGCATAACATTTTAAAACTCACTGAAAATATTATCTTAAGCTAATTAAATGGTCCAGGAACTCGACATCATCACCCAGAGTTTGTTTCCGGAAAGTCTGGCTATTAAAAGGATGGGTTCTCCTGAGGTGATCCTGAGGTGTGTGCCTCTCTCCCTTGGCAGATGAGGGGACGGTCAGTTTGCTGAGATGGGGGTTGGTGGCTGGCTGCACGTGGGCTTTAAACACACACGTGCACACTCACACGCATGCTCACACACACGCATGCTCATACACATGTATGATGCACACATGCATGCCCCCCGCCCCAATGCACTTCTGCCCGGATATGGTCCAGCTCGATGGGGCAAATCTTGTAAAATTAAGACATCTCAAATCTATTGGAAATCAAATGCATCCCATCACATCCATTATGTCCTTATTTTATTTTATTTTTTTGGCCGTGCCACGCGGCATGAGGGATCTTAGTTCTCTAACCGGGTATGGAACCCAAGACCCCTCCCGTGGAAGCACGGAGTCTTAATCACTGGACCGCCAGGGAAGTCCCACATCCGTTATGACCTGACGGTTGTCTAAGGAAAGCTGGTGGAGAGGACTACGCAGCACCCGTGAGCACTCACTTCATTCATGGCCCATTTATAGTCAAGCAGGGACAGACTGTATTCATGTTCATTCCCACGACGTGGCTGAACGCGTGGCAGAGAGCAGGCACTCTGTAAAGTTTATTTCATAAGATAATCAGTAAACCCACATTCTAGAATGTTAAGAGGGTTTGGGTCATTGTTCAGGGTTCAGTCAAAGAGGAATTCACTTGCCTTTGGATAGAAGAGGTGTTTCTATCCAGATTAAAAAAGAAACACAAAGATTGCCCCTGGTAAGAGTAAACCAGGACTTCCCTGGCGGTCCGGTGGTTAAGACTCCGCGCTTCCACTGCAGGGGGCGCGGGTGCGATCCCTGGTCGGGGAACTAATATCCCGCGTGCCGCGCGGCATGGCCAAAAAAGAGAAACCGAATCTCCACTGCACGATTTGGTTAAGGGCCTTACTGTCAGAAGTCCTCCGTCAGATGCCGGTGAGCAATTTCCTAATCTGATTTACTGCCTATTCCCCTCCCAGGGGCCGGGCCTCCGACCCTGTGTGTGTACGTGATGTGTTAGCTAGTGGCTGATAAAAGGCCGAGTCAGTCAGTCCTTCCTGTGGACGCGGACAGCACGCATAGCCTCCTGGCTGCAGTATGGGCGCCACGATGGAAAGACACTGATCTGCGCCTGCTCCTTCCTTCCTGTGCCTCAGTTTCCCCACTGGCAACACAGGGAGCTAGTCTGGACCACCTCTGAGGGCCCTGGAGTCTACGCGTCCTTTCCTCTCCGATCCCTCGGGAAGATCTGTGCTCCCTGCTTCTCCGACTGAGAGGCAACGGTGAAAGGCATCGCCTTCTGGAAACCCAGGAGTTCCCATTCATCTTTTTCTTTCTTGGGAAGGGGAAGAAATACACAGGGCATAGGGCCTATTGCAGTCAAGGAGAAAATTATAAAACACACAAAGCCTGCACAACTAGAGCACGGATTTGTCAGTAAGTCACAGGAAACACACTTTTATAGATTCCACCCAACAGCGTCCATCCAGTTGTCAACGGGGGACGTGGCTGTGTTTTGGGTGTGTCTAGACAACCCTTCCCATCTCTCTAGTGTCTTAATAACAATCCCCATCACGCGCACCGCATTCGACAGTTTAGAACATGATTCCACGTTCATTATCCCATCCGGTCTTCATAACCAGCCTGTGAAAAGGGCCGAGTGGAGGGTCGGTCCTGTTTTGCAGGTGAGGAAACAGAGGCTCAGGATGGTGAAGCAACAAGCCCCAAATCACCAGAAATTCTGGGATGAAACAGAGGTGAGACCTGGAGCCTTCTACTCCCTGTGCACCTGTCCCCTGAAGGCTCAGGTGGAGCGGAGGTGGCTGGTCACCCCTGAGAGGGAAACTGGGGGGTGAGAGACGCCCTTGGAACCAAGCATCTCCAGCCCCTATTTGCTGATGCAAGAAATCCCTTTAACCAAAGGCTAAGTCATTTATTCTATCATCAGAAATTCTCAAAACACAGGACTCGGGCTTCCCTGGTGGCGCAGTGGTTGAGAGTCCGCCTGCCGATGCAGGGGACACGGGTTCGTGCCCCGGTCCGGGAAGATCCCACATGCCGCGGAGCGGCTGGGCCCGTGCGCCATGGCCGCTGAGCCTGCGCGTCCGGAGCCTGTGCTCTGCGACGGGAGAGGCCACAGCAGTGAGAGGCCCGCGTACCGCAAAAACAAAAACAAAAACAAAAAAAACACAGGACTTAAATTCTCATGGAGGAATAAATGACTGATTCTGGTTTGTTCTGTTTTACAAAGACCAGGCTGCGTCAGATTGTGGTCCAAGCACCTCCGTCCCTCATCAACTTGGCTAAAGTCAGTCAGTCTCTCAAAGTAGCATCCCTGAAGCCACACACCTAGGCCAGCTCTTGGTTACAAATCCCCATCCCCAGCCCGGCCCACGTGTGTTAGCCCTGGGTTCAGTAGGACACACCCTTTGCTGTAATTTATGAAGGGGCCTCTCGGGAGCCTACCAGCAAATTTGCACCTAATGTTTAGACTGCGGGGCCTCCGAGGTACCCTCCCCATCATGTATCAGAACACAACAGGAAGCATTCAGGAGCAAAGGCACTGCCAGGCATGCAGGGCCAACACGGCAGCAGAGGAATCCGACTGTATGTACCATGCTGCTTGTAGATGGGGGGTTTCCTATAGATGTTATCTTTGACGCCAGTGTCTGGGAAAGAAGAAAGAAAAAAAAAAAGGAGAGAACAGCAGGATGAGCAAGCAAATTGTGATGGTTTCCATTCTACCGCTTTTTTGTCAGCAGCAATCCGTCACCCAGATTTAGAGTCCCCAGCAAGGATCTAGCACCCGCCCCGGAGACTGGCACCCAGGCCTCACTCTGCACGTCAGCCTCACTCAGCCCCGATGCCACCCGCCGTGTGAGGGGGGGCAGGGGGACAGAGGTGGCTGGAGCGGGCGTCCAGCGACGACTGTGACCTGGTCAGCCCCCCTCTCTCCAGCCCATTCTCAGGGGGGCAGCCACGCCTCCCTGGGGTTTGTGGAGATTCGGAAGAAACTCAAACACGTGCCAGTTTGGGGATGCGCACACCCATTTGAGGACTTTTAAAGCATCTCGGAATTTAGGGGTGAGGGAGACGGGGAGGCTTGGGGACCACGCCACCCCCGAGGCACGGCAGCCCTCTCCCACCCCCCTGCCCCGACAGCTCAGGGGCGGACAGACGGTCTGCCTGGCGAGCGGCCGTGTGTCCTGGGCGCCTACCTGGGACATGGAAGTGGCGAGGAGCCTGCTGGTAGGTGGAGGGGGGAGGCTTGCTGTCTGAGAGCACGGAGAGGCTGGAGGTGCTCCGGCCACTTTCACTGCCTCCAGACGGGAAAGCAAAGGCGGCAAACAGAAGGCGGGAAGGGAAAAGCAGGAGAGCATTTCAAGCATGAAGGCGAGCCCCTCTCCGCTGCCTGGCGGGGCCGCCCGAACCCGCTGCCCAGGGAGAGGGACCCTCACCGACACCTCCGGGGGGCCCCACGGCTTGTTAATCCAACCTCGAGGGACCCCCTTCGCTGGCCCCGTGGTGAGGGAGCAGGTACGCCCAGGGCAGAGCCCGTATTGGTTCCCAGTTCCTGCAAAATCTGGCCTGGCCGTTGGCAGAGCTCCCTCTCCTTGGGGCGGGCACAGCCCACTGCTGCTCTGCCGTGGCTGCCATTGGAACCCAGGAAATCACAAATTCACCAAAAGTAAGCATCCCCCCACGCCCACGTCCTAAGTATCCTTGTGTAAAAAGACGCTGATTTCTTGCAGAATTCACAAATTAGCCATTCAGAATCGGGATTAAAGGGCTAGAATTCATCTACATCTGTCCTGAAGAGCCACTGAGTAAAATCTGATCAGCCACAGGAGAATAAGAGACCACTAGTATTAATCAGCTGCCGTGTTCCCAAATAAAGCTATTTTTTTTTTGCCCAGTTAAATGGAAAGAGTCCTCTGATTCTGGCCCCGAGTTTTATCCCGTCTGGATTGTCATTTCTGTTTCGCGAACAAGGTTGGATTATCAAGTCACAAATTTAGACAGCCGTGGTCACCCGCCGATCCTGCCTGCCCCCCACCACACCTACTGAGGGATGGGATGGTACACAGGGGGTGATGGGCGTCGGACACGGCACGAAAGGCATACGGCTCCTTTTAGCGAGACACGCAAAGGCACAGTGCATTTCCTCCCCTTTAGCCCCAGGAAACCCTCGCCGCGTTATGTGACAGCTTGGCAAAGGGAAATGGACACTCCTGACGTGAAAATACCCCCGGCTGGGAGCCGCAGGACCCCGAGGTGACGTGGTGATGAGGCAAAGTGAGTGCTGGGCCCAACCTGGAGGTGGGCTAATGGGGGGAGATGCAGTAGACGGGCTCGTGGGGGACGCTCTTGCCTGGTGGAGGGGTGCGCTGAGGGCAAAGGGGGGCCCGCGGGTCAGGGTGGGCTCAGCAGACCACAGCCAGAGGCCTGAACCAGGCTGAGGCCACACGGGGGCTGCTGACTACAGCTTTTGAGCACCTTCCTAGGTGCGGCACCAATTTCACCTGTCTGCGTGGATGGACCTTCAGGTAGATGACTGCCCCCCTCTTCGGGGCATGAACACTGCTTTTCCCTTAGCTGCCACCTTCCAGCACAGCACAGAGCCTTCTGGAGCCTTGCACCAGGCCAGACTCCTGCACCCGGGGAGACCACACCCATGGGCACGTAAAGAAAACCTCAGATCCGTTCTGCCGACTGTGGTTCATGCATCTCCAGGGGCAGCGGAGCATGGTGGAAGCAGGGGCTTTACATTCATCTGCTCGGACTCCAGAGCAGCTGAGGACTCTCACTTAAGGCAGCACCACTGTGCCGGGCATGTCTTGACACAGCTTCCAGTGGCCTGTTTCTCTCCACCCCTGCTCAGGTGGCTGGAGTCTCTAACATGTCACGGGACTCCTGCCCGCCCCACGGCCCCAGTCCCCAGGCCCACCGTGCAGTGTCTGACCTCACAGGCAAGACTGTGTGTGTCCTCACAGGGGAGACTGTGTGTGTGTGTGTGTGTGTGTGTGTGTGTGTGTGTGTGTGTGGGCGCGCACATACGCACACACGTATCTGAGGAGGACCACGGCTTTCACCAGGGTCAGGAGGCACCAAGCGGTGGCCGCACTGGGCTCTCAGGCCCACCTTACACCTACCATCCAGGGGCCTCTACACGGGTCAACGAACTCTTAAGACCTTGGACCTGACCCAGGATGCCTCTGTTTGCCTCCCCTTCCCCCCATCCCCTTCTGGACTTCCTTTCCAACCCTCCCCACCTGTGCAGACCCTTCCTGGGTCAAGGCTCAAGTGCAAAGCCTTCACAGAGAACATAGCCCAGCTGACCATTCCCATCTCTGGACACACCTGCCTGCCCGTTCACCGTGTTGCTAAATCATCATCAAATGCACCCTCACACAGACCCTACATGGGGTCTCTTGCAGCACATTGCTCATGACAGCCCGGTGGCCACGCCACCACGACTGCCTTTTGCAGGGGCCAGTGTCCTGGTGAGGCCCGGCCCCAGGTGCTGCTCTGAGGGCCAGCTTCTCCCGTGGGCCTTGGGGGCAAAACCCCCAACCACTGATGTCACCGGGGATGGGGGAAAGCCAGAGGTCACCCAGCTGAGTGGTAACTTTGAAAAGGCACGGAGCCCCTCGGGCCGAGGTGCGTGGCTTCTCCTGGAGATGGGTCAGGACCGAGGCCGCTTCTGACCTCTGCCAGGGAGGGGCCCTCAGCATCCTCAGGGAGACGCGAGGATGCCGGGAAGGGGACCTCTCAGAGCCGGGGAACCCCTGGCCGGTGAGTGGCCACCTCGCCTGTTTGTCCAAATTGATGCCTTGTTGCAAAGCAGTTCCGGGCAGCACGGAGCCTTCCTGCGGACCCCAAGTCATTCCCTCCGTTAGTTTACGTGCCACCGGCGCGTCGCCACGCAGGTGTTGTCTAAACGCCTTACTTTATTTGCGTTTCACCCGTTTTCCCCTTTTGTATCTGAGGATCCGTCCAGGACACCAGGCGACACTGGTCCTCACGCGTCCTCAGGCTCCCCTGGGCTGTGACCGTTCCTCAGACTCTCCTGGCGTTTCACGGCCTTGGCAGTTTTGAGAAGTGCTGGTCGGTGTTTCGCAGACGGTCCCTTGGCTGGGGTTCGTCGGGTGCTTTCCTCGTGATCGGACGGGGGTCACGGTTTGGGAGGAAGAGCGCAGAGGGGAGGCGCCCCCCTCCCATCACGTCAGGGGCACCGCCATCCACGTGGCCGACCACTGCGATTGACCTTGACCCCGCGGCCGAGGTCGTGCTGGCCAGGATTCTCCCCGTCCAGCTCCTCCTACACCCCCACTCTGTGCTCTTTGGGAGGGGGCCGCCGCGCACAGCCCACACCCGACACGGGGCGGGGGGCCCCTCCTGGAGGGTGGAGGGTCCGCGTGAATTACTGGGGATTCTTCTGCCGGGAGTTTGTCTCTTCTCCCCCAGTTATTTACTCATCCAATCGTTCTTTTATATCGGTGTGGACGTGTGGACGTTTGTACTTTGCTTTACGATCCAACACCACGTCCTTCATTCTGCTGCTCAGCTGTCCCAGCTCTGCCCTCGGGAGCCCCCTCACTTGCTCCTGTGGATCTGCTCAAGGTGACCAGAGGTGAGGCCAGCCCCCAGCCCCTTGCAGGGACCCCATGGGTCACCAAGACGTGGGTGGGTTTCCACCTGCCCCGCTCACTGCCACATGCCACCTGAGCCAGCCACGGCCACCAGGTGGAGGGCCCCAGAATGGGGGCGAGATGAAGAGGTGGCTACGGGCGCAGCGGGTAGGTGGGGGAGTGGCCTTGACCTCGTTCCGCACCTGCAGCCCCTCCTCTCGCTCTCACGCCCTGTGGGGGGCAGGCTCGGCAGTCACTTCCCGTCACTGCCCAGCAAGACGGTTTCGGCAGCATCACTTCCGCTTGCACTCACCTGCGGTCCCACGGCCTCTGCTCCTTAACAGCTGAGAAGTCAGTCTTAAACCCGACACTGTCCCGGGAGACACACTGAGGACCAAAATTCACACTAAAGCGTAAACGGCTGTCACTGGCACCTACGCTGCACGCAGGTCCTGGCAGGAGGGTGGCCCCAGGCGCCAGGACATGGTGGGAAGGTGTGTCTGGGATGGGGGTGGGTGGGAAGGAGGGGCATCTGGCCAGATCAGGGCAAGCGCTGGCCTCTCCTCTCCACCCACAGCGTCATCCACAGGGAAAATCTCCACCTAAGGAGCCAAAGAAGCTGAAGATGCTGTGAGGAGAGACCAGGGAAGGCATTTCTGCAGAGCGTGGGTGGATGCCAGGTCCCGTGACCAGCTGAGAAGAAGGCAGGCGGCCCTTGGCCGCAGGCTGGCTGCAGAGTGCCCACAGGCTGGGATGCACCAGAGCCCGTGGGCCTCAGTGAGAGGTGTCAGGGAGAAGTGGTGGCCCCATGGCCGGCAGGTGGACGCACCTGGTGAATGAGGGCCTGCCTCTGGGCTCTGCCCAGCGACCTGTCCCTGAGCCTTGGTCTCCCCAGGGGTGAGTCCTGGCAAAAGGCTGGGGCTCCTGAGGTCACAGACGGCCCTTGAAGTCAGCAGGGGGCAGAGCCGTGGGTGCCAGACTCCCCTGCATCCTGCACCAGAGAGGAGGGCAGGGGGCTTTGTCCAATTTCTGAACAAAGAGAACTGGGACCCCGAATAGCCAAAGCAATCTTGAGAAAGAAAAACAGAGCTGGAGGAATCAGGCTCCCTGACTTCAGACTATACTACAAAGCTACAGTAATCAAGACAGTATGGTACTGGCACAAAAACAGAAAGATAGATCAACGGAACAGGATAGAAAGCCCAGAGATAAACCCACGCACATATGGTCACCTTATTTTTGATAAAGGAGGCAAGAATATACAATGGAGAAAAGACAGCCTCTTCAACAAGTGGTGCTGGAAACACTGGACAGCTACATGTAAAAGAATGAAATTAGAACACTCCCTAACACCATACACAAAAATAAACTCAAAATGGATTAAAGACCTAAATGTAAGGCCAGACACTATAAAACTCTTAGAGGAAAACACAGACAGAAGACTCTATGACATAAATCACAGCAAGATCCTTTTTGACCCATCTCCTAGAGAAATGGAAATCAAAACAAAAATAAACAAATGGGACCTAATGAAACTTAAAAGCTTTTGCACATTAAAGGAAACCATAAACAAGATGAAAAGACAGCCCTCAGAATGAGAGAAAGTATTTGCAAATGAAGCAACTGACAAAGGATTAATCTCCAAAATTTACAAGCAGCTCATGCAGCTCAATATCCAAAAAACAAACAACCTAGTCCAAAAATGGGCAGAAGACCTAAATAGACATTTCTCCAAAGAAGATATACACATTGCCAACAAACACATGAAAGAATGCCCAACATCACTAATCATTAGAGAAATGCAAATCAAAACTACAATGAGATATCACCTCACACCAGTTAGAATGGCTATTGTCAAAAAATCTGCAAACAATAAATGCTGGAGAGGGTGTGGAGAAAAGGGAATCCTCTTGCACTGTTGGTGGGAATGTAAATTGATACAGCCACTATGGAGAACAGTATGGAGGTTCCTTAAAAAACTAAAAATAGAACTACCATATGACCCAGCAATCCCACTACTGGGCATATACCCTGAGAAAACCGTAATTCAAAAAGAGTCATGGACCACAATGTTCCCTGCCACTCTATTTACAATAGCCAGGACATGGAAGCAACCTAAGTGTCCATCGACAGATGAATGGATAAAGAAGATGTGGCACATGAATACAATGAAATGTTCCTCAGCCATAAAAAGAAACGAAACTGAGTTATTTGTAGTGAGGTGGATGGACCTAGAGTCTGTCATACAGAGTGAAGTAAGTCAGAAAGAGAAAAACAAATACCGTATGCTAACACATATATATGGAATCTAAAAAAAAAAAATGGTTCTGAAGAACATAGGGGCAGGACAGGAATGAAGACGCAGACGTAGAGAATGGACTTGAGGACACGGGGAGGGGGAAGGGTAAGCTGGGACGAAGTGAGAGGGTGGCATGGACATATATACACTACCAAATGTAAAATAGCTAGCTAGTGGGAAGCAGCCGCATGGCACAGGGAGATCAGCTCGGTGCTTTGTGACCACCTAGAGGGGTGGGATAGGGAGGGTGGGAGGGAGATGCATGAGGGTGGAGATATGGGGATATATGTTTATGCATAGCTGATTCACTTTGTTATAGAGCAGAAACTAACACACCATTGTAAAGCAATTATACTCCAATAAAGATGTTAAAAAAAAAAAAAAGAGAGAGAGAACTGGGGGCCAAAGCAGCCAGGAGGGAACCGGAGCAGAGCCCTGCCCACCGCAGGGCCAGTGCCCACCCGGAGCAGACCGCAGGGCACCGTGCCCCCTGACCTCAGGGACACCATTGGAAGGGCTATGACACTTAGAAATGTGGTTTCTAAACCACATTTTGCTGGGCAGTGGGGTGGGGGCCTGCCTGCCCCGCCTGCCCCCAGCACAGGATGGAAGGAAGGGCCTCGTTGCTCCTACCTGAGGTGAGTGGGCTGCCCTTCCCTCGGCCTCCCTCCCTGGCCCTCTCTCATGTGGTTGAGGATGCGGTGCTGCAGGCCGGGGGCAGCTGCCCAGGGGGCCCGTCCCGGGCCGAGGTCCCATCCTGGCTTTTCCTCAGCCTGACGCAGTAAGAACTTGAGGTGGAGGTTCTGAAGGGGCAGCGGAGGGGCCAGCACCGGGTCTGCTCTGGCTCCTGCCCCAGCCTGGACGGATGTAGGCAAAGCCGCCCCCAGGCAGCCAGCCCAGCTCACAAGGGGCTGCCCGGGGCGCGAGGCCAGAGCAGCCAAGAGGGCAAGGGTCCTGCTCTCTGGCCTCGCCTCTGGGCCGCACCTCTGCCAGGGACCCCAAAGCAGGGCCACGTCAGGCAGGAGGAAAGCCATGTGCTCTTCTGACCTTCAAGCGAAGGAGACACCTCTCCTTGGGTGACCTGCTGTGACTTGTCTAAATGTCAAATTCACTCCAGTTTGCAGTGAGTCTTCTGTCCACCTCTGGGTGAGGGCACACCCCGGCCACGCGACACCCTTGTGCCACGCGGGTGTGCAAGAGGCCCTGTGGGCTGCTCTCCCGCTCACAGGATTTTGGGCTTTTCTGCTTCTCAGAAGAGTCAGTACGTCCAGAAGAGGCCGTGAGCTGTGGGGATAGGTCCACTAAGAGGAGAGGAAGACACCCTGATGACCAGGGGTTCTCTCCTCAGTTAGGCTAATGGAGTCATGCAAACAGGTGATGATGATGCACATGAGAACCGTCCAAGTTCCAAGGAGCCCTGCCGGGTGACCATCCAATGATGGAATAATCCAGCTGAGCTGTCCTCCCTTGGCCCCTCGGGGACAGAAGATTCTCTTGAAACTTTCACCACTCAGCAAGCGTAAGGAATCAGCAAGAGATCATTGCTGCTCCTCTCGTGCCCTGGGAGTCTTTTCATGGTGTATCAATCAGCTAGGGCTGCATAACAAACGACTGCAGCTGGTGACTTACACAGCAGACATTCATTTCTCACAGCTGCGGATGCTGGAAGTCCCAGATCAAGGTCGGGCAATGCTTGGCTTTGGGTGAGGCCTCTCTTCTTGGATGAAGACAACTGCTCTGTCCTCACGTGGCCTTTCCTCTGAGCGCGTGCAGAGAGAGCGTCTGTTCCTCTTCGTAAATGCCGCCCACGCTATCAGATTAGGGCCCCACCTGTATGACCTCACGTAACCCTAATAACCTCCTAAAGATCCCTTCTCCAAATGCAGTCACACTGGCCGTTGGGACTTCAACATATGAATTTGGGGGGACATAATTCAGTCCGTAACATACGGACTGAAAAGGAATTGGTCCTTTTCCTGGTGTGATTCACACACGTGTGCCTGGGCATGGGTGGGGAAGGCGGGTGGGTCTGCGCCCTGGGACGAGTTGCAGCCGTGCGGGGTGTGCCTCTCGCCCGGCCACCAGGAGCTGAGGTCGTGGACATCTCCACACTCTGTGCCTTAGCATTTGCTCCCGATAAGCACGGCTAGCGGTCCCCGCACCTGCCGAGCTGACGTGGGAAAGAAAAGGAGATGACTTAGGGAAAGGCTCTGGGCACCAGCCCAAGGGTGGGCGCTGGGTAGGTCCTAGACCCCTCTTCCTGCCTCGCCGCTGGCTCCCTGGCACAAGTTACTTCCTGGGAACGTGTACACACCGACAGAGCTGGACACACAAGATGCAAAGCGGGGAGCATGGGCGTGAGACATGGGCTCGGGGAAGCCATGCGGCGCACACAGGACAGCAAGACACAGACGCACGGCCGGCCCTGCACCACAGCCCGCAGCCCTGAGCGCCTTACCTCGGAAGTAGGGGATGTAATGATGTCTGAACACGGATGTAGGGCTTGGGTGTTGGGACAGGGACAGGCAGCTACTGGTACCAACACTCACAGTACCAGCTGCGGGCAACAGAGAACAAGTCAGAGTCGGCCCTGCGCTCGGGGCCACAAAGCTGCAAAATATTCCTAGGCCCCGCTCTGCTAGGAACATTTGTGCTTCCTCTCTCGAGGAATGCACACCTTTCTGAGGCACCCGAAGGGGTGCCGCTAAGTACACTTTGGGCCAGTCTGCTCCGGGTTCCAACCGAGGAAGCCCTGCCCTCTGGGGTCAGGGTGGCAGCGCCCCCAGGCCTGCTGGGTGGGAGCTGCTGGCCCCTGAGCCCTGCCCACTGCCCCACTTAGGGGGCTCCTGGGGATCCAGGGCCCAGGTGGAGGGCAGCTGGCCAGACCAGGGAGTGATCTGTCACCTGACAGGCACCCCGGCCTTGCCCAGGAGAGATTCGGGTCATAGCTCTGGGGTGACCACCTGACCAGGCACAACCAACAAGGCCAGAAGACCCAAATATGGTGGGCAGGGGTCAGCAGAGGCTGACAGCCCTTCTCCTGGACTCACCTGCTCGCCTGGTCACTCGCTCACTCACTCATTCATTCATTCATCCATTCACTCACTCACCCACTTTCCAAACATCTACTGAGCAGTATGTACCAGGCACATTGCAGGGAGTCCATGAAAATAACTTTGCAAATGAATGAGACTTGATTTTTCCACAAGGGCTGCAAAAATCAGAGTCGAGTCCATGGAGGTGAGGATAGAGCCATGCAACAGCTGGCCGAAGAGGAGATGCTTGGAAAAAAATCCCTCAGGAAGCAGCCTCTGTGTGGAGTCCCTGTGGCTTGGACACACTGAGGGCAACGCGGATTTTTAAAAGGGAAAGGAATGGAATACGTAGCTGGGAGCCAGGCGGGGGATGAGGTGGGATGGGGTAGAGGACCCTCCTCGGGCTTCTCCCCACTGGGAGGGGGCTGGCAGTGGCCCCTTGCAAATTTTCCCATGGGGACAGCTGTCCTTGGGGCCACTAACCCAGCTACCGGCGAACGGTCAACGCATATGCTGACTCTAGTTTTTGTGCGCTGACTTTGTCTTCATAGTGCAAACCTTCCCAGAACCACGCGAGCTTGGAACTAAGTTACTTCCGGTCTCCTGCCCTTTGTGCTGTTTTACCTTCCTGACATCTCTTGCTACTGACACATGAGCTGGATTCTATGTGCTCAGCGCTGCCATGGTGCTTCACAGGACGGCTCCTCTAACCAACGGGGTAACCAGCTGCCTCTGCACTTAACCTCCCTGCCCCGGCAGCAGACGGCCTTTTCATTCATTAAAAGCACGGGCTCTCCATCACCCACTGGCAATCCCACGCCCTGTCGGTCGTTTTTCCAGGCGCTAAAGTAAGAGACAGACTCATAAGAGGAAAAGCCACAAGAAGCACAGCTTCACGGGGGTAAAAGAGGCCGCGGGGGGGCATGTACCTGGACGGCTGTAGTGCTGGGGCGACCGCAAGGTCGGAGTGTAACGGCCGAGGCTGACCGACCCGGTGGAGCTCGGGCTGGAGGTCCGGCACTGCTTGTAGGAGCGGTCATCCTGATACCCCTGGGAGAAGACAGCCTGGTGAACCCTGGCACCGAGAGCACCGCCCACCCGTATCCACCCACCCCTCCGCCCTCCACTTGGCGTTTGCTCCTGACCCAAGAGGCTGACTCAGCACGGCCCCAGGACGCAGTCCCCCCACCTGCCAGGGCACATCTGAAGAGCCAGATGGGGGGGGCTGGCCTTGGTGCTGACACTCCCCTCGGCCTGAGCATCGTCCCAGGTATTGGAGCATCGTACCAGGTACTGGAGGTGCTGACACTCCCCTTCGGCCTGAGCATCGTACCAGGTACTGGAGGGCAGGGTCCCGCCCACGCCTCCAGCAGCCCCTCCTTGTAGCTGGGGCTCCCACAGAGGAGGCAGAGGCACCTGCATCCACCTATGTCTTTCAGCTCCCCTCTTGCCCCATCCTTCCCGGCACCCAAGACCCCTCGGAACACAGTTTGAGAACCACTGAGATTCTGTATTCCCCCCGCCCTGGCCCAGAAGCCCAGCTGAGTCAGACCCACAAGCACTGACAACGCAGACTCCATTCAAGCAGGATGGCCACTGTCTGGGGTGGTCAGGGCAGGTGACAGGTGGCGTGAGATGGCGTGGCACTATGGCACGGGGGCAGAGCAGACCGCCCGCCTGCCACAGCTCGGCACGTTGGCCTGAGTCACGACACGGGCCAGTGTCCTGCCGTGGGGTGGACGCTGCCGCTTTGCCCCTCCAGGCTGGCGTGGGATGAGTAATGGAAGACTCTGGGTCTGGCGCTCACGGCTCCCACGCCCTTCCAAGCTGACCTTCTGCCTCCTAGGGCTTGCTCTTTAGCAGAACGCACGGAGCCACCGTCCTTAAAGCTTGCCTGTGTGCCCACCTGCACGCTCCGCTCAGGCAGGCCTCGTGCTGGGAGCACACCTGCCAGGGCCACCCACACTTCACCCTGAGCCCCTTGGGCCTGGCCCATCCCGGCCATGGGCACACTCTCTCCCCTGGGATGGCTACAGCCCTGCAGTCTCGTCTCCATCCCCAGGCATCCTCTGCACAGCCCTGTTGGCCAGTTTACACCATACAGATGTCCTGTCTTCTCGCCTGCACCGTGCCCGGGGCTCGCGGCCACATATGGGCGCGGCAGCTCGGTGCTAGTTGCCTACGTGCAGGCTTTGGCTGTCGTGTTCCTGGACCCAAGGTCTGATGCCCATGCAGACTGGAGTCTGATTGGTGGCTGTCTGTGTCGCGGATCAGTTTTGAGAAACAAGAAAAACGAGCGGGCTGCTAATTCATGCTACCTGATAGAGAAATGCTTTCAGCACATTTGTCCTCGAGGACCCAAGATATTCCCATTAAGTCCCACTTGGAGGCGCATGACGTGGCCCAGGCTAACCCAGCCCCTGGACTTTTTCTCTAAAGAAAGCCGTGACCCAGACCTCAGATCAGACACAGGTGTCCCACGTGTCCGTATCGCAGGGCCGGCAGACACAAGGGAAGCATGCAGATGAGATACGATTATAAAAATAACCAACGGCGAGAAGGAAGCCCCGGCCTCAGAGGGTCACGGCCTGATGCCACAGTCAAGGGCCTGGGAGACCCTCCAGGGGAGCCCCGGTTGGTTATCTTTACCATCCGGGCGGCAGCGCCATGAGCAAACGGGGTAGGCCGGGGGCGGTTACCTCGGGCGGCGTCGGCGAGAGCAGCCGCGGGGACTGTGGACACAACACAGAGTTACCTGTTAGGCCCAGCGCCTGGTGGTCACTCGGGGGGGGAGAGCGCCCCGGCCCAGGCTCATCTGCACCACGGACCCTCCTCCACACGGCAGGGAACCCCAGCACGAGACCCGACACACGTTCCAAGACCTCCGTTTTGGAGACACACGGTCAATGGCACCCGAGGAAAAGGTCCCCAGGACAGTCCTCTCTGCGGATGAGCCTGGACCTTGTCTCATTCTGGCCCGCCCCCGCCCTGCCTCTCCCCCACGAGGACCCATTTCCTAAGGGAAGACTGTTGGCTCCAGGCGTTGGGTGGCCACACCCTGTGAGCCCATCACCCTTGGGTTTCTTCCGAAGAGAGAAAAGGGGCCCAGAGAAAGGAAGCGCGATTCGGAGCCTCGGGGCTTGGGGTGAGGACCAGTGTGCGGGGTAGGGGGGTCATCGGGGCCCTGGGGAGCGGTGACCGGCCTCCCCGGCCAGGCACCTCCCGCTGGAGCAGGTGAGCACCGCCTGCCACCTACAGACGTGTTACCAGGACTTAAGGAGGGAGCGCCTGGCAGAAGGGGCTCTGGAAATGGGGCTTCCAGGCAGGAAAGCTCACCCGTCTCCCCCTCTCCTGGACAGGTAGGAAGACGCTGTGGGGAGTTTCCAAGGAGGAGCCCTGGTGACTGGGGACATTTTCTCGTACCATTAGAACGGCAAGGGGAAAGTGTTTCCCAATCTTCCCATTTCATTGAAGGGGAGACTGAGGCTCAGAAAGGCTGGCAGATCTCTGTGCTTCCAGCCCACTGCCCTTCCCTCTGCTAGCTTCCCACACTCGGATGAACTGCTGGAAGGCTGCAGTTCCCGAGAAGCAGGGGAAGCGGTCTGGCCCCGAGGCCAGGGTTTGTTCAGCTCAGCGCACTGACCCACGTTCTGTGGCCCACTCCACCATTTACCCACAGAAGGGCTCCCACAGAGAACACCTCTGAGCAGCCTCCCAGCCGGGGCATGGCAGGGCCTGCGGAGGGCAGAGGCCTCGAGGTCCCACGAGATGGAGGAGGGGCAGAACCCCAATACCTCGCTCTGGGCAATGGCCGCAGCCGGCACGGAGGCAGCAGTGACCAAGGTCAGCCACGAGGGCCCAAGCCCCAGCTCTGCCCCCGTGAGCAGCACGGTCCTGGGCCCTCACCCTCGTTCTCCCTCACCCTCGTCTTCTCATCTACATCCTGGGACGGTCATTCCCAAAGTGCTGGGCCACAGGAAGTGGAGCGACGCAAAAGCCCAGTGTCAGCGCAGAGTGAGAGCGGGCCTGAGGAACGGGTGATGACTGTGATATCAGCGACAAGGGCTAGCCACTGCAGCATGACCCGTGAGTGTGCTGTGGACCCCTGGATCCCTGGGCTGTTCCCACCCTGCCCTCACGCCCCGCAACTGCGCCAGCTGCTGGACCACAGCAGGTGTCTGCCAGGCTGGGCTTGCCTGCACGACCCCTTCGAGCCTGGCGCCCCGGAGCCTCGGCTACACCTTGGGAGACTCCGAGTGGGGCGCCCATGCCGGGCCACCACACGTGACCGGCGCACAGACACGGCCGACAGCTGGCAAAACACGCCTCCTCTCCATCCCAGGCACCCCCATGGCCCGGTCACAATGAAGTCTCAGAAAGGAAAAGCGACTCCACCAGCAAATCCCAGGGTAAATGGAGAGAGGCGGCCGTGGTTAGGAAGGCCCAGCAAAGGACACTGCCCACGGGACAGCGGGGGAGAAGGCATCTGGGGCTCAACCAGGGGTCAAGCCAGCTCGGGGAGCTCACGGGACGGAGGAGTGGGCCAGGGCTGGGAGAGCCGGAGGGTGGCCCGGAGCGCTCTGGACAAAAGAACAGGATACATTTCCCAACTTAAGAAAATAAAGAGACTCTCGCTTTGCTCCTGTCACCTTCCTGATCGCCAGCGAGATTTCTGCTTTCTGCGCCCGCCGAGGGGGCCTGTCCAGACCCTCTCCGTCAGTGTGTCTGCGAGGAGCAGTTCGGGGCCAGAGCACACTGGGAATTCTTTAAAGAGGAGGCGCAGGTTATCTGAGGGGGTAAAGTAGGCTGAGGCCGCCGGACGGCCGTGGGGACGGACGCCAAGGGGACCGGTTATGGGTTTCATGCCCCGCAGGCTGGCCCCGGCCCGGGCCGTACCTCGCTGCAGCTCTGCCTGTCCCCCACCGAGTGGCTGATGAAGGGGGAGTAGGAGATCATGTCGGGGCGGTCGATGCTGTAGATGGCCTTGTTTTTAGGGAGAGCGGCCAGGTCTCTGTAGTCAAGGATCTCATCACCCAGCTTGGCCTGCGAGAGGAAGGAAAGAGACGAGGGGGTGGTTAGACCCACACCTGGAGGCGTGGTCGCTCGGCAGCCATGGGTAGAGGTGGGTCTGAGCGAAACGGGGCCAGGGGGCAAAGGCATGGGGAAGTCTCGTGGCACACGGACCTGCGTCCCCGCAGACAGTGAGAACTCAGCCCATGGTCTAAATACACACATAACCACACACACACACATCTATGCTTGCATACATACATACACACGTACGTGTAAAAAAATACATGTGTGCGGGCACTGAAAACACACATATACACACGTATATGCATGCATGCATACAAATACACACTTGGATGCATGCATACAAAGACATGCACACACACAAATAACGTGCATGCAGGCACAGAAAACACACACATGTAGACATGCATACAAACGCACACATGGATGCATGCATACACACACATGCACAGAGTATACTTGTATGCATGCAACACACATACACACGTGTGCACGCATAAAATACATACGTACGTAAAAGATGTGCATACATGCATTTAAACACATGCACAATGTGTGCATGCATGTATGCACACATGCAAACACCCAACACGTACATGCAGACCCGCACGCACAATATACGTATGCACACAGATGTGTACATATGCACGCACACAGGGAACATGCCCGCCTACAACTGTGGAGGGGAGACACTGACACACCCACACCTCCGCATACTCACTCGCACCCACACAACCTCACCCACCAAACTAGTACACACGTACACACCTCCCTACCCAGCCACTCACACACATACACTCAGGGCTTTGGAGTGCTTTCAATACGCAGCCGACTGCCTGCGGCTTGCTGGCCAGCTGTGTGACCTCAGCAAGGTCACTGCAGAGGTGCTCACTTGTGGTGACGCACCTGGAGCCACCACATCTGCTTAGGTGAGGTCCACCTGGGTGCTCGCTCCCCTGCGATTGGGCCCGGCCTCCCCTGCACCGCCCGCGGGCCCCTCCTCCTGGCTCCGGGGGCTGCCTGGGGGGCGCGTGACTGACTGGACAGGCCTTGGAGCGGGGTGGCCGCCTCAGCCTGGCTCTCACAGCAGGGCCGAGGTTCCCCCCCCAAACACCGGTCTCAGTCCCCGTGTCCCTGCAGCACCCCTCCCGCGCCGGCGGAATGTTTACAGCCCACGAGCCCAACGGAGGGGAGGGCGTGAGTCCCCAGCCTGCTCCCAGCACGAGCCAGTTCCTGGCGCGGCGGATGCCCAGGCTCCCATCCCTCCTGGAGCTGACACACCAGTCACCTCCTTCCCCCGGGTCCCCTCTGAGGATTAATCCCAGCCTGGCATTGCCAGCCGCAGGCAAAGCTGGCCACTCGGGCTGCCCCCGCTGGCTCGGCTCGACCCCCAAACCCAGCAGGAACCGTCATCTCAACCTCGGCCCCCCTCGGTGCCCCCGGCCTCCTCTCTTCCCCTTCCCAGACCCAGGCGGCTCTGGTCAAGGCCCTCACTGCCCACGTCCCTATCCAGCCACAGCCTCTGGGGGGCTGTCCCGCCAGCAATTCTTCTAACAAACGCCACCAACAGCAGCGTGACACTACACCCTCCACCCTGGACAGCACCGGGCTGGGCCCGCGAAGGGGGCACTCACAGGACGTCCTCTTCACAGAGGAAGAACCGGAGCCCAGAGAGGCTGGGTAACTTGCCCAGAGTCACACAGCCAGGGAGGAGGCGCAGGCTGTCTGAGTCCAGAGCCATGCTCTCTGCCATGGCTCTCTCTCCTCCCCGCCAGGGCCACGTCGCTCAAACTCCGGCTGCACCCCGTCGTCCTCCAGCTCACATCCTCTGGCAGCCCCTTCCGGGATGGGTGACACAGCCCTCACTGCAGTTTCCAAACCTGGCCTTGATGTTTGCAGCCCATTCATCATAAGGTGTCTCGTCCTTGTTCCCCCAGTGTGCCAGGCTCAGCCTCCACCCTCCAGCTTTCCTTTATCCTCTGAAGTCCGGCAGCCCACCTCCTCCAGGAAGACTTCCCTGACCACCAACTCCAAGGCTCACGTGACTCGCTGGGTACGCTAGGGGCAATCCCTGCCATCTGTGACGCAGGTTGAGGGAGTGAACACCTGATGTCTCAGATCTCTGGCGATTCCCTTGGGAACCCTGGGCAACGTTCAGAAGACCTGAGTTCAAACCCTGAGTCTGTCGTTTGTAACTGTGGTGCCGCCAGATCGGCATTTTTTGAGCTGCTCCTCTCTGCCTTCCGGGGAAATCTGAACTCAGGCCCCCTGGGGACCTGGCCCTTGTGTATGTGCTCATTCAAGCCTCTCACTCCCCAACCCATGCCCCTTGTCACGCTCAACCCCTTAGTTTCCAGAACATCCAGAGCCTGAGTGAAACGGAGCAGGACCCTATGGTGCTTCCACCCATGTCCTCCGCCTGCCTTTTGTCTGTAGAAAAACTTCAGCCAAAGAATAAGTTTAATCAGAGAAGTGAGAAGATGCAGAAACAAAGGAAAACCGTCAAAGGAGACCAAATGATAATAGTTTAATCATTAAGCAAAGTCAAAGACCTTTAGTTCCTCCTTAAGGGCTACAGATAATATTCTGAGCCGTATCCTGGGAGCTGCTTTATAGATACTGAAACCCCAGCAGGTATTAGAAGTGAACTACATGATGACCAGACTGTAGCCACGACGTAAGCGGCCACGATTCCAAGAATTGGCCTCAAGGAAATGGGAATAAAGTGACCCTGGAACCGAAGACGAACTGTACTTAAAACAATCAAGATGACGCCGGTCGGACAACCGATGACCAATTTCAAGATGACAGTCACAGCTGACTGTGCTGTTTCTGCATGTAGCCCCCTCCCTGCGCCTATAAAAGCTCTTGCCCAGTGATTGTCAGCGGGGGGAGTCAGCCTTTGGACAGGAGCCCACCCTCCTCTACCTCGCCCTGGTTGCCGGCATCCAAAATAAAGCAACGTCTCCTTTCCACCAGCCTTGCCTCTTTATTGGCTTTTGAGCGGCGAGCAGCTGGACCGCACTTTCGGTTACATGAGGGCTTGGTACATGCTGTTCCCTCCCTCCGAAATGCCGTTGCCAGGCCTCTTTGCCCAGCTCATCCTCCGGTCCTTCCAGATTCAGCATGCTTCCCCTCCACCACCTGAGGTGGATGTTTTTCTCCTGTGAGTAAAGGTGCTGATTTCGTTGGCGCATCTGTCTCCTTTTCTCCTAAGGCTGGTGGCTCCTGGGGGTTCAGGACCCTGATTCACCATGGAGTCCCTCTCCCTAACTCCATGCTTGACACGGCACAGGTCCTCGGGGCAGGCGTGCCGAATTGAGCTAAAATCGATTGCGCATTTGCCAAAGCCAGCTGGGTTCTCTGGGTCTTTGTCTCCCCCTGAAAATGGGAATACCACCCGGGCCCTGTCCATCTGCTGGATTTCGTGACCATCAACACAGCTCGATATAAAGGGCGATGCTGCCGTGGGGCTGGGAGAGGCCGGCATTCACAGGTCACCGTGGAGGCTGTGTCCGCCCACCCACCTCTGTCCTGCTATGATCGCAGCGCTCAGTGCCCGCTGGCTTTCTCAGCCCCAGGGGCACAGTCAACAGCATCCGCCTTGCCCTGACAGAGGGGATCAGGGAGGCAGCCCGACGATGCCAACTGCCACCAACACGACCCTGCTCAGAAAGAAGCCTGCTCGCCCCCAGCTGGCCGGCTAGGTGGCTGTGCTCCTGGCTCCTCAGCATTTGTCCTGCCCAGCGGGGCTCACAGATGCATTTCCCTGCATCCAAGTCCCGGCGGTTGCCATGACAACGGGCTATGTTGTCTAATTGGCGGAAGGCCACTGGAGTGTGTGTATGTACAAGTGCTTTCCCTTAGCTTTCTTCTCTCCTATACTGTATCCAGCATAACAAACAATAAGATATGACCATATATGATGTTATAGCTATAATATAATCCTACCGATGATACAATCTAATGATGCTGCTTTTGTGCTATGCCGACTCACTGCTTTATTGCCATGGTGAAGAAAGGTTACAAAACAATATAGCCAATGTGACCTCGTTTTGTTAAAAAAGAAAATACACGCACACAGAGAAAAAGAGACCTAAAGGGCATACTTCAAAATATTAACAGTGGCTACTCTGGCTGGGAGGATTATAAATGGTATTCATTTTCACCTCTGCACCAATCACTATTTTGTTGCTAATAAATGTGGGTTACATTTGTAATAAAGAAAAAGGCAGTGAAAAGATTACTTTTAAAACCCCACAATTTATTGAGCGCCTACTGTGTGCATGTTTTATCCTAGATACTAAGGTGAGTGAGGCACGGCCCCTGCCCGCCAGGAGCTCACAGCCCGTGTGGGAGACGGTAGCCACATCACATGATGAATTCCCTGCCATTCCTGCACACAGGGACATCGCGGGGAATTGATCTCTTCCTGATGGGCAGGAAGGGAGAGGGAGGGAGAGGAGGCTGCATTTGAGAACAACCATCCCACAGCAGGCGTGTCCCAGGCGGCTGGCATCCTCTTAAGCACGCTGAGCTGGTGCATGGATTGGGACCCCCGTCCTGAGGTCCTGAGTGTGCCCAGCGCTGAGTAGAGTCGGGTGCACAGTAGGGTGACAGGAGATACCAACAGGGAGATGGAAGGAAGAGCAGAGGGGCTGAGCCTGAGATAAGAAGGGCACATGCTTGACCAGACTCTCATCTCCTCAGTGAAGGAACTGCATGGATGTGCACTGCCAACTGGTGCTGATACCAACCCTGACTTGGGAGGGATGGCCAGGGTGGGACGTTCCCGGCTGGGCGCTGGCCATGGTGCTGGGAGTCCATGTGTTAGAAATGGATGCAGGTCCTTGGATGGTGGCTCCATGACTCAGAGGCTGTGACACAGACCAGCTTCTGCACCTCTCTGAGCTGCATCTAACTGGGATGCTGAGAGGCAAAAGGAGACAGCAGAGTACACTCCTTGGTACCCAGGACTCAAGGCACCTCTGGAGTGTCAAACAAACAACTGGCGTTTCAGACTCAGGAGACAGGATCAAATTAATTCGCCCGAGGTCTTCTATGTACTTATTTTTTTTTACTTTTAAAAAATATAGCAGTGTGTACACTTCAAGGTCTTCTGTTTAAAACTGGAACCCAGCACACTCGTATTAGCTGAGCGAGAAGTCTGTCTCGGCTGGGACGGTGCGACCAGCTGGAATCTACCTCGGCTGAAGGTACACCCAGCTGGTGGGAAACTTCTCTGCCCACCATAATCCTGGTGGGCTCCCCAAGGGCGGGGAGGCCACGTGACCCGATCAAGGGGCGTGGACTTGGCTGTGCTGAGAACTGCCAGGTGGAAGAAGGGACCCAGCAGGGCTGGTTTTCAGCACTGAGCAGCGGGGTTCCCTGGGAAGAACCCAAGCTCTGTGGTGGCAGAGACCTGGGTTCAAAGACAGCTCCACTGCTTACCGCTGCATGACCTTTAAAGTAACAGTGATCACAGAGCCCAGGGACTCTGGTCACCGCTCACTGCACCGTTACATGGTCACTACCGTACCTAAGCCTCTTACGAACACCAGTTTGTTCAAAAAATAATAGTTCATGTTTAATGAGCAGTTGACCAGCAGTAGCTGCAGTCTGGGGACACGACCATGCCTGGCCGCATGCCGAGTGCTTCACAAATACGATCTCATTCAAATAATAATAGTCATTATTATTCATGATGATGATGGTATTTGGGGCTAAACTGTGGCCCCCCCAAATTTCTATGTTGAACCACTAGCCCCCAGCACCACAGAAGTGACTACATTTGGTGATATGGGCCTTTAAAGTGGTGATTAAGGTAAAAAGGGGTCATTAGGGTGGGATCTGATCCAGTACGCCTGGTGTCCTTCTGAGAAGAGGAGGTTAGGACACAGACGTGCACAGAGGGACGACCATGTGAGGACACAGGGAGAAGACGGCCGTCTACACATCCAGGAGAGAGGCCTCAGAGGGAACCAACCCTCCAAACACCTTGACTCAAGACTCCTAGCCTCCAGGACGGTGAGAAGATACATTTCTGTGGTTGAAGCCCCCTGGTCTGCGGTGCTTTACGGCGGCCCCGGCAAATGAGCACAGATGTCATAACAGTAATCCCAGCGAGTGAGCGTTTCCTGTCCTCCCTCTGGGCTCAGGGCTGTGCCCGGGGCCTCCCACTCAGTACCTCAGTGGCCCTGGGCAGCCGGCACTGTGAGTCCCCAGGTACAGGTGAGCTCCCAGAGGCTCAGAGAGGCTAACATCTCGCCCAAGGGCACACAGCTGCCTGGTGACTTCATGCTGCCTTTCTGAGCCTCCGGGTTTGCATCTGCAAAGGGTCATCCTGCGATTTACTCTCTGGACTAGAACCCTTGTTATTATCACCTATCGGAATTAGGGTCAGGAATGGCCCTAGCCCAACTAGAATGAGAGTTTGGGGAGTCAAAAGCAGTGTTGAGAAGAGCGAATCCCATCCCCATCGTGTGAGAGAAAAATGAGGCCCTGGCCGGGTGGCAGGGGGGATGAGAGAGGCGACTCGTCCCAAGTCACCGGCTGTCCTTCAGGTGGGCAGCTGGACCAAGACACCCAGTCCAGGGCTCGCCCCTTCCCCTCCCCCACCCTGCACAGGCTCTTTCCCAGACAATGAAGTTTGCCACTTAGCCAAGTAAACTAGCAAATAATTACAACCATTTCTAATCTTCCATTTCTAATCCCACCACCCAGAGGTAACTGTTATTAACTATTCGTTAAAAAGTTCCCAATCATTTTTAGACTTGTATGTGCACGTACACACATACACACACAAATACCCATACCCATAATACACACGCACGCACACACACACGTGCACATATACACAGATGCGTACGCACATACACACACACACATACCCATACATACATATGCACACAAATACATACACACACAAATGAAAGTGGGATCACACAACATACATCACCCTTCACATGTTTCTCCTAAAAACACGTTAGGAACTTCCCACGGCAGCGGGCACAGATCTGCACCGTTATTTGTGACACGGGCCCAAGTGTTATTTACGCAGGTGAGTCCTGGCTGTGGGGATGCGGATGTGACTCACCGACACCTCTGTAACCACAGCTGTGAGCACACCTCTCTGCGCACCTGTCGCCACATCACGGGGCGGCCGTGGTCGCACAGCACATCCACACTGGAGGCTCCGACCCAGCCTCACGGTCTGCCCCAATCTCTCCCGCGGCCTCCGGTGGGGGGGGTGCTGGCCCCGGCCCCCCACTCCGAGGGCACACTCATCAACAACCCCGGGCCCCGGGGCCCCTCCGCACTCTCCACAGAGAGAATCCAACTTACATAAATCACGCGGCTCGGAGACCCTGAGGTGCTGGAAGCAGGGACGGAAATGATGCTCTCTGAAGAGGCTCTGGTTTCCTAGGAGAGGAGATAGGAGGAGGCTGAAGCAGACCGTCAACGAGAAGAACCTTTCAGAGGCAATTCCACGCCAACAGAAATGCCGGCTCACGAGATACTTTTTACTTGCACGTTGGAAGAATTCTTAAACATGCAGGCTTGCATGGACGACAGCACAGCTGTAATCAGAAGACACAGCAGGTGACCCTGGCTGCAAGCAAAGCAGCCACGCTTTCAGCGCCGGCTGGAATCGATCCTGTGATCACCAAGCTTTCACGGCGTCAAAATTATCTGTTTTTCGGAGGGTGAGAGCAAGCGGTGCAGTTTCCGTGTTTCTGCGCGCTCCAACGGCAAAGGCAGAGCTGCGCCGCTCAGAGACCTTATTCTCCACGTGGAGAGCACGGGGGACGCACTGCAGTCTGTTCTGCCAGCCCCGCCTCCGTTGTCTGACTCGGCGCCCGCCACGTCTGCGGCCTGCTCCTCGCGTGCCCACCGCGGCTTGGAACCATCCCCCCGCCCCTCCTCCCTCGGTTCCGACCATGACTCCTGCACCCCCGACGTGACAGCCCCGAGATGACTGTCCATCTCTTCCACTCCCCCACGTCAGGCCCCCCCATCGCTGCGAGGACCCTGCCTGTCTCCAGCTCCCACCCCACTCGCTGCACCTGTGTCCATCCCCACCTGTCGGGCGTGACCGGGCAGCTCCTGGACCCTCTCCTGGTCCAGCCCTCACCCCTGCTGGGACCACCCACGTACCTAACTGTGCACACCTCCCACTTGCCCCATCTAAACGGGACCCATCTTCACAAAGGGCCCCCCTCTCCCTACCCACTCACGGCTCCTCTCTTATTTTCTAAGCAGGCCCCTTCCTCCCACCCCCTGGAATTCCGTCCAGCCCCTCTCAGTGGTCCACACCCGCTGCAGTGGTGCCAGCAGCCTGGGAGGGGCCGCATTATGAACTGAATTGCATCCCTCCAAAACTCATACGTTGAAGTCAATACCCCAGTACCCCAGAATGTGATTATATTTGGAGGTATAGGGCATTTAAGGATGCAATTAGGTTTAAACGGAGTCTTTAGGACAGGCCTGGATCCAATCTGACTTGTGTCCTTATAAGAACAGGAGACTAGGACACAGACATGCACAGAGGGATGACATGTGAGGACACAGGGAGAAGACGGCCCTCTACACGCCCAGGAGAGAGGCCTCAGGAGAAACCAACCTGCCCACACCTTGATCTTGGACGTCCAGCCTCCAGGACTGTGAGAAAATACATTTCTGCTGTTTCAGATCCCCAAGTCTGTGGCATTTTGTACGGCAGCCCCGGGACACTAACACCCATCATGGACGCCGCCAAGTGGATGACCCCCAGCTCTGGCTACACTCAGCACAACACCAGCGAGAATGGGATAACACCAGGACCAGATGTGAGGCCGATGCGGTAGTTGGAGGGACAAATCTGAAAGGCATAGGGGGTGGTGCCTGGGTAAACCTCATTGGGAGCCTGGCTCTG